ACGTCGACGATGAGCTCCTCCTCCCCCATCACCACGCGATGTAGAGCGCGTGTTCGGTTGCACACCTTTGAAACCCAAGCTCGCCCAAATGCGGGCGCCAAGCTTACGCTCTATGCTTATGGGGCCTACCAGAGTCCGTAGAGCACCTTATGCAATGGAGCACCCCGTGCTCCTCCCTTGATGGTGAAACCGGAGGTTGCCTCGACGAAGACCGTTTCCGCCAGCCGCGTGAGGAAGGCCGATTTAATGTCTAAGTGATGGACACGCCACCCTTTGTCTTGCCGCCAAGGCTAGTAAACGGACGACCACGCAGCGCCATCGGGCGTAAAGACCCCTCAAGTCTATGGCCTCACACCGAACAAAGGCTCGCCACGAGCGTGCCTCTGTGCTTGACAATGACGCCGGTTTCATCTTTGCTTGACCTTGTACACCCCCTTGGCTGATCGATCGACGGCATCCTAGAGGTGGATCGATGAGCTATCAAGTCTTGTTTTCCTCGATGCGCCTTCATCTCCTCCAGCATCGCCCATCGCCGGCTTCCATCGCGCTCGCTAGCGCTAACGTGGGTGGTTCCTTCCGCACTAATGAGCAAAGCAGCTTTCTAGGTCATTGAGCACCTACCCGCCAGACCTGAGTGGTCTGTCGCACGTACGATGATGTTGTCCGACCCTCACGGAACTGCACCTCTCACCTTCGTGGTAGGCGCCCACGAACTCAGTGATGTCACTTGGAGGTGAGGCCCGAACTCGATCGGCCGATGGAGTTCGAGAGTTCCGCTGAGTGCTCAAGCCTTAGCACCTTGAGTGCTTGGCACCTCAAGGTGCGTGTGTTCGGCACTACTTTGGACAACTCATCATAACTCCCCTGCAGTTGTTCGCCATACCGTAGGAGTGTCCATGCTCGATCTTGGAGTGGTTGGTACCATTTGTAAGACGCCTTGGCTCACCACGGAGTGTTCGGCACCATCCTAGAGTGAGTCGCCACCACTGCAGAACCTTCTAGCACCACTCCTGGCATGCTCGGCATCCCTCCCAAGTGCTCGGCTCTCCTCCTAGAGTGCTCGGCATCCTCCCAAAGTGCTTTCAACTGCAGCCGTCAGAGTGCTCGGCTCTACTGGCCAGAGTGCTCGGCGCTCCTCTGGAGTGCTCGACACCTCTTCCCTTTAGCGTCTCCACTCCCGTGGATGACCAAGTGCTCAACGGTACGGTTGCCGGTGAACCCGCTTAGCTTCCCTCATGCTTGGACTGGCTTCTAGTCCCCAAGCGGCCTTCTCGTCGAACACGACATCGTGTGAGACAAGAACATTGTCTCCCGCGATGGGTCGAGAGTCGGTGCGCCTTGGTACCCTCCGGGTGTAGCCTAGGAACACTATCGGTGTGCTTCGTCCTCCGGTTTGGTGAGGTTCGCTTCGTCTTCCGACGCGTGGCCGATGCGTACCGAATGTCCAAAGGAAGGACACACTCGCTTTCGCCCATACCAAGCCTCGAACGGCGCCTTGCCCGCCATGGCCTTTCGTTGGGAGCGGTTGAGGATGAACACCGCCGTGGTCACCGCCTCTCCCTAGAACCTTGCCGGCATTCCCTTGGCCTTCATCATGGATCAAGCCATGCCGACCACCGCCTGGTTTCGGCTCACTCCACCACGCCATTCTGCTGTGGTCAATACGATGCGGTGTGATGTCGCTTTACACCGATCCACGCAGCACATAGCTTAACTCCACCGGGTGAATTACGCCACCCGATCAGTCCTTAGCACGCGGAGCTTCTTGTCGCTCTTGGCCTCCACGCGTGTCTTGTACTTCTTGATCATCGCGTGCAACCCGTCCTTGCTCGTCGGGAGTTGCGCCACATGTAGCGATTTCGCAATCATCCACGAAGCGGGAAGAAGTACCACCGACCACTACCGGTGGGGCGTGATCGGCCTCGCAGAGATCGCCATGGACGAGCTCGAGAGCGTCCTTCGTGGCGATACTTGGCCACCTTTGGGAACGGGCAACCTTCTTTGCTTCCCGGCCAGTAGTACATCACATAGCTCGCCTCGTGCGCTATGTGGGGTAGCCCCTCGGACCATCTTCTCTAGCCGATCAGCGTGTCGAAGCCGAGATGTCCGAACCGAGCATGCCACGCCCATGGCTCCTCGGTATGCCTTCGAGTTGAGCAGGTACAACCGGTTCGGGACCTCTTCACCTTGGCTAGAAGTCTCTCGCTCCCGGTCTCACGATCCTGGACACCGTCCTTGATCAAGACTCGCTACCATGCTCATCCAATTGGCCAATGTTGATGATGCTCGAGCGCAACCGCAGAGATGTAATATGCATCCGTTAGCGTCAGCGGTGCTCCCTGCTCGCTTTTGAAGATGATGGTGCCATGTCCTTGATTGCCACCCTTGACCCATCACCAAACTTCACCATACCGTAACATCATCATGGAGCTCGGAGAAGGCTTCCTTGGAGCCCGCCATGTGGTTCTTGGGCACGGAGTCCGTGATACCACCAGCTGCTCCCCGGTCGGCGCCCACATGTCTGAGGTGGACTTGGGTGCGTGGTTCGTCGAGGTTGATGGTCTTCGTATTCTTCCTAGGTCCTTCCACCGCCATCACTTCCACCTTCTCCTCGGCCTCGGCGACGCAGGGCAAAGGCACGTAACGCCGTCATCACGATAGTGGCCTCATCCTTATCATCGGCTTGGCGCCAAGTGAGCCTCAAATTTCTTCTTCTCTGCTTGCGATTTGGGTACTCGCGTCTCAATGGCCCATCTTCCCGCCAACGCCGACAGCGTTGGGGTCGACCGCTACTTCTTCTCTAAAGAAGCCTTGCCACGGCGCTTGCCATTGCCATTACCGGGCCGGAGGAGGCTGCCTTCCCGGAGTTCCTCCGAGCAACCCACTCCTCTTCCGTCAACAGGAGTTTTCCACTATCCTTCATTGTTGTCGCCTGCTCTAGGCGCTCATTCACCGCATCAAGCAGATGGCTGTCACATCCTCAATGGTGAGGGTGGATAAGTCCAACATCGCCTCTATGGAGAGAGCGATCTAGATATACTTTGTTGGCACGGAGTGGAGGTACTTAGAGATCGCCTCCTCTTCGTCGATGGTGACGCCAGTGGCTCTTCACTTGCGTCGATGAGTGTCTATAGGCGGAAGGAGAAGTCCTCCACCATTTCACCATCCTTGAACTTGAGGTTGGCGTATTCTCCGCCTTGAAGCCAGGGTCGTTGCCTTCTTTACGCTGGTCCGGAACCGACGCCTTCATCGCCGCAATAGCCTCCCATGCCTCCTTAGCCGAGGCTCTTCGTCCCCAACGGCTCCCTCATACTCTGCCATGCTGAGCGAGGATAGGCTAACGACATGTCATCTTCTTCATAGTTGGTGCCCTTGTCAACAAAGATTCCGTTGCCGCTTGGGCTCGAAGCTTGACCTTCATGGTCACCGACCACTCTTCATAGTTGGTGCGAGTCATTACGGGCTAACCCGGTCAACTGACCTCTTGCACCATGCGAACAACGACCTCCCGGCGTGGGCTGGCAGCAACCACAAAGCATTGCTTGTGGCCCATCTCCAAATCGCCCATCATCGCTAGCGGTTAGTATGTCGACGACGCTTGTGCAATGCTCCGATACCACTTGTTGGCCCATAGGATCATCGTCTCGTGAGTTAACCACTCACCAAATCTTGTCGAAACACCCACTAGCCGTGCCGACCATGAACAAGCGTTGTCCGTCCCACACACTATGGCTAGAGCTAGAAGAAGAAGGGAGAACAGCATATACACACACAAATACAAGACACCAACGTTGGCGAAGCCTCGTGGTCTCGAGATGGCAAACTTTCTTGAGTTGCCGTGGTATCCTATTTATACAACTCTGTCCTTCTAGTCATAGTACAGCTGCCATGCTACTACAAGAACTAGATAACATCTTTGGGCTGACTTCTGCATTGGTCATCATGCATGTGCCTACAGTGCTGACAATGGGTGAGCTGCATGTGCACCTGCACCTGCGGCTGCCTCTGATAACACACAATAAGAGGGCCTTTCGGTGCGCGCCTTCCTTTGTTGTGTTACATTAAGGTAGCAGTAGATTATCTAATGATCCACTTTGCTAAAACAAATAAGAGAGGGAGAGTGGATCTCCCTGCCTAACACCTCTTTTGCAATAATGTATAGTTTTACCGGGCACACCATTGAGCAAAACTCAGGAGGTGGCGGAGGCAAAAATTTCTTTGACCCATCCAATCCAATGATCACCAAAACCTAGGATGGGTGACCTCCGAGCATTGCCACTGGGTAATAATCCTGTCCTTTTCCAACGCTATCGTTACCCTAGGAGCAATCATATAGAAGCACGGCTAATAATTTAGCCTATTACTGACTACTCCTATATGACACTACCGCTATGTGAAATACAACTCCCGCAAAGGAAAATGTCAGGCAGCTGACCTAAGCTGGGCTTGACCGTGTATAGTCTTTTTCAGTTGTGAGGCAATAATCGAGAGCTGGAGACGTTCCTGGAAAGAAGAAAAATGTGGGGCAGCTGCCTGCCGGAAACATCGTCCACGCACTCCCCGAGTCCCGACTCCCGACCGCACTAGCGAAGTGCGTCCTGCTTTTGAAACAAACGAAGTGCGTCCTCCTTGCTCTTGTGTGTTATAGTGGGGGATGACCAGGCATGGTGCATAGGCGTGCGTGGAAAATTAATGCATGCCTGTCGATCGGATACTGACTGATCAGGTCACTGTATACACTTTAATCTGGCAGCCGCGCACATTATATATAGTACGTAGCCGTCACGGGATGGATTATATTCACCACGATATATATAAAGTATTATAAGTACTAGTAGGGATTACCATCACGCAAGCACCCAAAACCACTCACTGGTCACTACACATACCCATCGTCATCGATCGGCCAACAAGCACTCCTGACCTGAGCAAGTTAAGCATCCGGCGTAGCAATGCGCTCACTGATCTTGCAGCTGCTATACCTATACGCCTCCGCGTCCATGTCGATTCTCGTGGCCGTGGCCGCACAAGCGGCCGGCGACGGGGCCGCACTGCTGGCGTTCAAGGCCGCGGCGATCGGCGGCGGCCACCACAACCACAACCGGCTGCTTCCTTTCGTGGAAGTGGAACAGCACCAGCGCTGGCGGCTTCTGCAGCTGGGAGGGTCAGGTGCGGGCTAGGCATCGCCGGGTGGTGGCGCTCACCCTACCCTCCTATGGCCTCACGGGCACCCTGTCCCCGGCCATTGGGAACCCTCACCTTCCTAAGAACTCTGAACCTAACCTCCAATGCGTTTCAGGGAATATCCCTGCAAGCATCGGCCGCCTGCTACATCTCCAGGCGCTTGACCTGAGCTACAACACCTTCACCGGAGAACTGCCTGCAAACCTAAGCTTCTGTGCTTGGAGAGTAGCTTACTGCTCTTGAACCTCCGCCACAACCAGCTCCATGGCCGTATTCCTGTTCAGCTCGGTCAGAAGCTCACAAACCTTCGTAAGCTCTCACTGAGAACGAACAGCTTCACGGGCGATATCCCAGTATCACTAGACAACATGTCGCTTCTAAACTATCTTGATCTAGGTACAAACCAGCTCGAGGGACCCATACCACCTCAACTTGGCAGCATGGGAGACCTACGCTTCCTTTATCTCTTCGAGAACAACCTCTCAGGTCAGCTTCCATCCTCTCTCTACAATCTGTCCATGCTGCAAGCTCTCGTCGTAGCTAACAACTCCTTGTCTGGAACCATTCCTAGTAATATTGGCGATAGGTTGCATAACATTGAAAATCTGGACTTTGCTGTCAACCAGTTTCATGGAACCATCCCGCCTTCACTCTCCAACCTCTCTGCTATTACAAACCTTCAGCTTTCGACAAATAGTTTTGTTGGGCACGTTCCATCTGCCTTTGGGAGACTGAAAGGTCTCGTTATTCTGTACTTGGAAGGGAACAAGCTGGAAGCAAATGACACGGAGGGGTGGGAATTCATCACTCAGCTAGCAAACTGCAGCCAGCTTCAGCAACTGACTCTTCTCAATAACTCCTTCACTGGAAAACTTCCTAGCTCAATCACAAACCTGTAGACAACCCTCCAGTATCTTGATTTAAGCGACAACAGGATTTCTGGGTTTATTCCATCCAGTATCGGTTATTTGGTTGGTCTGCAAGTTCTTGTTATGGCCAATACTTCTATATCCGGAGTGATTCCAGAGAGTATTGGTCACCTACAAAACTTGGCCGTGTTAGGACTTTACAACACTAACTTGTCAGGCCTAGTACCTTTGTCAATAGGAAATCTTACGCAGTTAAACATACTTCTTGTATATAATGTAAGCTTGGAGGGGCCAATTCCAGCAACCTTAGGGAACTTAAAGAATGTCTATAGCCTTGATCTGTCAAACAATAGACTCAATGGTTCAATCCCCAGAGAGGCCTTAAAGCTTCCTGCACTTTCCGATTACCTAGATTTATCATACAATTTGTTGTCTTCCTACTGAAGTTGGTAGCTTGGCAAACCTTAACAACTTGTATCTGTCAGGAAACCAGTTATCTGGCGGCATACCAGATAACTAGTATTGGGAAATGCATATCGTTGGAACAGCTTAAACTGGGCCAGAACTCGTTTGTGGGAAGCATACCTCAATCTCTAGAAAATTTGAAGGGTCTTGCTCTACTGAACCTAACAATGAATAAGCTATCTGGAACCATTCCTGATGCCCTTAGTAGTATTCGTGGCCTGAAAGAGTTGTATCTAGCTCACAACAACCTGTCTGGTTTGATACCCTCAGGTTTACAGAATTTAACATTCTTGTATGAATTGGATCTGTCTTTCAATGATCTGCAAGGTGAAGTGCCAAAAGGGGGTGTTTTTGCAAATGAAACGTACTTTTCAATTTATGGCAATGGAGAGCTTTGTGGCGGAATACCTCAACTGCATTTAGCTTCATGCTCCATGTCTACTAGAGAAATGAAAAACAGGCATTTGTCCAAATCCCTTATCATCTCCCTAGCATCAATCAGTGCACTTGTATGCTCGGTTTTAGTGGTGATTCTTATTCAGTTGATGCACAAGAAGCTCAGAAAAAGGCATGAAAGTCAATTCATATCCACAATTGAGGAACCGCATGAAAGAGTTTCTTACCATGCATATCGAATGGGACCAGTGGTTTTTCAGAGGCCAATTTGCTTGGACAAGGAAGCTATGGCATGGTTTATAAATGTACTTTACATGATGATCAGGGAACTATAGTAGCTGTAAAGGTGTTTAACACACATCAACGTTCGGCTTCTAGAAGTTTTGTGGCTGAATGTGAGGCGCTGAGTAGGGTCCGTCATCGTTGTCTTATAAAGATCATCACTTGTTGCTCAAGCATCAACCCCCAAGGTCAAGATTTTAAGGCACTCGTTTTTGAGTTCATGCCAAATGGTAGCCTAAATGGTTGGCTCCACCCAGAGTCTAACACACGAACACTTGCTCAGACAAATACTCTTAGCCTTGAACAAAGGCTAAATATTGCCGTCGATATCATGGATGCTTTGGACTATCTACATAATCACTGTCAGCCACCAATCATTCATTGCGATCTTAAGCCAAGCAACATCCTTCTTACAGAAGACATGAGTGCCCGAGTTGGAGACTTAGAATCCTCCCAGAATGTGCTAGTACAACACTGCAAAATTCAACAAGCACAACTGGAATAAAAGGCACCATTGGTTATGTTGCACCAGGTAACTGAAATTTTGAAATAGTTACTTTTGTTACTTGTACATTTTTCCTAGTTCTTTTATTTATGAACACGGGACATTGACTTTTTTCTTGTTGCAATCATAGAGTATGGTGAAGGTTCTTCTGTCTCAACCCAAGGTGATGTTTATAGCCTCGGCATATTGCTGCTCGAGATGTTTACTGGAAGGAGCCCAACAGATGAGATATTCAGCGACTCGTTGGATTTGCACAAGTTTTCAGAGAACGCTCTTCCAGAGAGGATATGGGAGATTACTGATCCGACGATACAGGCGCACAGAGATACCTATAACATCACTACAAGAAGTAAAATTCTGAATTGTCTGGTTTCTGTTGTTACTCTAGGAATATCCTGTTCTAAGAAACAACCTAGAGAGCGAATCCCGATACAGGACGCAGCCATTGAGATGCATAATATTAGGGATTCGTATATCAAGTTTACCAGATCTCATTTGGTAGAGAATGGAGTAGTAACGACTCAGTAATTTTTCAAAACAGTGAACATGGGCTCACTGAAAATGGTCAACATGCCTATAGGTGATCACTTACCTGAATAGCTTAATGTACATGATGCTTGAGCTCTATAATTCTTCCTTACATATATTTGCCTTAGATATATCTATTATATATTCTATTTGTTGGATCTTTCTTTGTTGAGGTATTGTAAGAATTAATGGCTATTACCTTATTTTCTTTTGGACGGGTCTGGTACTCCGGTGTCACATCTACATTTCCACTTGCAATGATAATGTTTTATATATATCAATACCTACCTAATACTAAAGAGCCAAAATTTTATCCCATTTTTTGCGCCCACCTTTCCTAACTACCGGATAATGAAGAGTTTCTTGTGTCTCATATGTATGAGATTCATATGACACGTGCTCATATGGGTACGAGTTAGAAAATTGCGTCTAGCAATGATAGATATAAAATCGGATTCCAAGATCTACTTGGCTCGTCCTCCAGATTTTGTATGTGACTTGAACCAATGAGCAGTGCTTGATATGAGTTAGAACAACTTCCGCCAGTAGCATACGCAGTCCAATTTCCAATATATATTCGGTCATCCTAGCGCCTCGACGTTTGGATGGACGCAGACGCCAAAGCCTACTTCGCTGTTCGCGTGCCTGCCTGCACACATGCTACTGCTTACATGGGGGCCCATGCCGCTTCGCTTCCAGCGCTGCGTTTGCGCCCACTTTCTGTTTCCTCGCCTGTTGCTCATAAGAACCTCCGCTCCCACGCCGCATGCACATAGGCCCAAGAGCTACATCAGTGCTTGCCAGCAGATGGGTCCCATTGCAACATGTGCAACACCATATCTACTTTTGCAACATCTAGATAAAACACTTGCAACATAATCTCAAACAGTTGAAACACTTGCAACATACATCCCAAAACATCTGAAAAAACACGTGTAGCTATTGCAAAACATATAGAACATCCAGATTGAACATTTGTAACATACATATGAAACACATAAAACACTTGAAACATACGCTTTAAACATGCATGTATATGCAACATCCAGATGAAACACTTGCAACGTACGTCTGAAAACAGATGAAACACTTGATATATACGCTTTCAACGCAATGTCACCTTGCTGCTACTGAACGAATGGAGGCTCGTCGTTGCAGAGCTCGACGCCGGCGCGCGAAGTCGGCAATGGCGCACGGAGCTCATGACGCCTCGAGCTTCGTCGGAGCGACAGTGGGCGCGAGCAACTCGCCGTTGGGCGTGGTCACACAAAGCTCCTCCCCGCGTCTACTTGCTGGAACATCCATCGTGGAGGCTCACCGCCTCGATGGTGCATGCATGGAGCTCGACGGTGCGCCATGGAGGCAATGCATGAAGGCGAGTGGGTGCAGCAGGCGAGGAAGAAAGAGTACATGCACGGGCAGCCAAGGACATGAGGCAGGAAAAGCCGGCAGTGAGGAAGTAAGGTGGAGAATGTTGGGCGTTCATAGATTGTATGGGTTGTGGTCTAGTTAAAACGCGCATTAAAAAAATGAAACAGCCCGGACGCCCCTGTAGGAGCATTTCTGATATATATTGGGTGGCCTTACAACACGAACATGCTTACAATTCTACCCCAAAATATTAAAGCACGAAAAAGTTTCTTAATTTTCATCCTTTTCTATTATTTTTTAATTTTTCTCATGTTTTTTGGTTGCGTCTACCGAGCACAAACTCATGTCCGGGGAGTCCGTTCCCAAGTACTATGGTTTTTTTATGTTTTTCAGTTTTTTTTCATTTTCCTTAGCTTTTTGGTTTAATTTTTTCCATGCCTTTTTTTTGTGTTTTTCTCTTTTCACTTCACGTTCTAGTGTTTTTCGTTCGTGTTTTCCTGTTCATTTTAATTGTTTTGCATGTCTTTTCTTTAAACCGTACATTGTCATGTTGATCTGAGCATTTTGTGAGCCAGGTCAGGCTCGGGCCGAGTCAAAAAAAAAAGCCCAGCTATTTATGCCAAAATATCCTACTCATGACCATCCCACGGACGAGCCGGGTCTGTTTTTTTCAGGCAAGGCTTGGGCTAGGCCTAGGCCCGATGGACCGTTCGCACGGTTTATATATACTGTAGAACAGCTAAAATAAATATTTCGTGCTAGGCTCGAACCGAGAATTCCTTTTCTAGGCATCGAGAGCTGAGTCTAGGCCTTCTCTACTAATGCTCATGAGTGAGCTAAATCCCATTAGGCTCGTGGGCTAGGCTCAATTTGCTCAAAGTCTATTTATCTCCTCAACTATCCTCAAAGTCTAGTTTTTTCTCTCTGAACTTTAAAAACCGGGTAAACCACCTCATTTAACTTTTGAAACCGTTCATTTTACCTTCCTGACCGGTTATAGGTGGTTTTGTCTTTTAGTTTAAAAAATAAATCCGAGTAAATAATGAGGCTTTTGAACCACGAAAAATATCTCTAAGCTTATAAAAATTTAGAGAAAAAAAATACTAAATATGGATTAGACACGAGAAACCCAAATAATATATTTATATCTTGTGAAAATATCTCTAGAATCTTTTAAAATTTTGATTTAGCTCTAGGAAAATTGGAAAATATCCAAAAGAATCTGAAAACTACCAAGATATTCCAATTGATATCTAATTGCATCTTAAATGTTTTCACAATAAAAACTTGAGATGAAGCCAGCATGAATGCATTCAACATTAATATATGTTGTGTTGGTTGCATATCACATTTAGATTGTGGAAAGTTCCTAAAATGTGTTTAGACATGAAATAGAACATTTTGGTAGTTTTCAGATTTTTTGCATATTTTCACATTTTCCTAGAGCTAAAACAAAATTTTAAAAATATTATAGAGATATTTTCACAAGATATAAATATATTATTTGGGTTTCTTGTGTTCTAATCCATCTTTAGTATTTTTCTTAGAATTTTAGAAGCTTAGAGATATTTTTCGTGGTTTAAAAACCTCATTAGGTGTTTACTAGATTTATTTTTAAACTAAAAGATAAAAACCGCTTTTGAAAATCACCTATAACCGGGCCAGGAGGTAAAATGAATGGTTTCAAAAGTTGAGGGAGGTGGTTTACCCGGTTTTAGAGTTCGTAGAGAGAAAACTAGACTTCTAGATAATTCAGGGAGGTAAAATGGACTTTTTCCTTTTAGAGGTTGATAATACTAATGTTGCTGAAAGACAGAGTTCAGACTTAAATTTAGAGGTTGAGAGCTTGATCGAGGACTCTAATTTATCTCAGTTAGTTCCAAAATAAAGATTCTCTTCTGGAATATTCGTGGGCTTGGTAATGCTGGTAGAAGGAAGTTACTAGTTGAGTTAGTGTCCAAGTATGCTTTTGACTGTACCTGTTTACAAGAAACTATCAAGACTTCGTTCAGACAAAGAGAGTTAGATCGTTTTGCCGGACAGAAAGATATGTACTGGTTTTGGGTTCCCTGTGTTGGGTCATTCTGGGGATGCTAATGGGGGTTGACAAAGGAATGGCAACAGTTACTGCTGACAGTTTTAAATGGAGTCTGATAATGTCTATGGTTGATGACAGTTTTAAATGGAGTCTGATAAACATTTATGGGCCAGCACATGATGATAGAAAAGTGAGAATTTTTAGAGGAGCTGGTAACCAAAGTCCAAGGGATAGATGTGCCACTAATAATGGGAGGAGATTTTAATTTAGTCAGGAAAGTTGAGGAGAAATCACCTGGGAATGTTAATACCAATCTGATGGATGCATTCAATGAAATGATCAATACTACAGCCTTGAGAGAACTACACAGGACAGGAAGCAGAGATACATGGTCAAATAAGCAAACTCCTCCAATATTATGTGTGCTGGACAGGGTGCTAGTTTCTAACTCTTCGGAGGACAAGTTTAACCTTGCTTCTGTACTTACTGCCCCAAGACTAGGCTCAGATCATAATCCCTTGATTGTGGATACTAGAGAAGGGTTAAGTCTTAAACAACATTGTGGAGAAATCATCAAGTTGGTTTCCAAGACTGGGTTAAGAGTAAATGGCCTGAGAGATATAAGTATGATATCCTTGATCACTGGCACATTATTTCTGGTAAACTAAGAAGAGCTATAAAGGGTTGGGGACAAAATGTAGACAGTGCTCAGAAAAAGTTTAAACATGAATTATTGCAGAGAATTGCAGTTCTGGATGAGACAAGTGAGATCAGAGACCTTTTGCACTCAGAATGGGAGGAGAGAGATGATTTGGAATTGAAATATCAGAATCTGCTAAAGGATGAGAAACTGCATTGGCAGAGAAGGGGAGGTGAGAAATGGATTCTGGAGGGAGACTCAAATACAGGATATTTTCATAAATGTGCCAATGAAAGAAAGAGGAAAATGCACATCTCTTCGCTAGAAAATAATGGGCAGAGCTTAGTTGACCCCCAGATTCTTAGAGAACACATTACTTACTACTACAAGCAGCTTTTTGGTAGAGTTGAGGTAGCAGACATGCACTTAGATCCTGGTATATGGCCTATATCTCAACAGATTTCTCTGGAAGAAAATGAATGGCTTACCTGACCTTTTAGTCTTGAGGAGTTAGACTTTGCATTGAAAGAAATGAAGAACAACACAGCACCAGGTCCTGATGGATTCAGTATATAGTTCTTTAAAGCCTTTTGGCCTATTATTAGAGATGATATCAAAGAGATGTTGGATAAGCTTCATGAGGGGCAGCTGGACCTCTGGAGATTGAATTATGGTGTAATTATCTTGCTGCCAAAAGTGAAACCTGCCACCAACATTAAACAATTTAGACCAATATGTTTGCTGAATGTGATTTACAAAATCATCACAAAAGTTCTGACTATCAGACTGACTACAGTGGTGGATAAAGTTGTCAGCAAATACCAAACTGCTTTTATCCCAGGAAGGAATATTTTAGAGGGTGTGATAATTTTACAGGAAGTGCTACATGAGCTTAGAGTTACCAAGAAATCTGGAGTTATCTTGAAACTTGATTTTGAGAAAGATTACGACAAACTAAGTTGGACTTTTCTAGAAGAGGTCTTACAAAGAAAAGGATTTTCAGAAAATGGATTCTTTGGATGATCCAAGCTGTAAAAGGTGGTAGAGTTTGTATTGATATAAATGGTGAGAGAGGTGATTTCTTCAGAAGCTATAAAGGCCTCAGACAAGGTGACCCATTATCTCTATTATTATTTAACTTGGTGGCTGATGCACTCTCCACCATGCTATCCAAAGCTAATGAGACAGGTTTGATTCATGGTGTGGTTCCACACTTGATTGATGGAGGGTTGACTCATTTGCAATATGATGATGATACAGTTATACTGCCGCTCGTGCCGTGGTGCGTGCGCTGCGGCTGTGCACCTCCCTGCTCGCTGTATATATAAGCCCCTTGGCAGCATTCCGATCCCTGCTCTGCTCGCCTTCTTCATCGTCGATCATCAACACAAGAAAAAGCACAAGTCCGATCCCTGAATCCTCCTCCATCCTCCAAGTTCCGGCCGGTGCACCTGCAGGCCATGGGGACCGAGGCAATGGCGGCGCAGTGTTGGTCCTCCCTTCCGGTGGACCTCATCAACCGCGTCGGCGACTGCCTCCTGTCCAGCAACGACCTGGACTTCTACATGGACCTACGCGTCGTCTGCAGCCGCTGGCGCTCCGCCACCACCTAACCCAAGACGAACAAGCTCGACCCCCGCTTCCGCCCCACCCGGTGGGTCATGCTGGACGAACGCGAGTCCTCCTCCTCATCCCGCCGGGACGTGGACACGCGGCTCTTCGTCAACGCCGCCACCGGCCGCTTCCTCCGCAGGAGCCTGCCGTTCCTCGGCCGCGGCGGCCGCTACGACCTCGTCGCAAGCACCACCGGCGGCCTCCTCGTTCTGGCGGCCAGGGACGACTCTCGCTGCCGTCGTGGTTGGTTCGTCGTCTTCGCCCACTACTCTCTTCTTGGCTTCCGTCGCGTCGAACAGGGTGTACTGGGCAGACCCCGAGAGCGAGTCTTTCTCTGCCGAGACGTGTCAGATGTGTCCCGCAAGCAGGCTGCCCCAGATCGCCGCGGCCAAGATCGCCGCCGCCGCCGCTGTTCGCCGTGAAGATGATGGTCCTGATGCCAACATGACGACCTTGGACCGCCTTATATCCGACGAGCACTGGAGGTGCCGTTGTTACGTGGTGGAGGCCGCCGCCGCCGCCGGGGATATGCTGGTGGTCTTGTTGCGGAACCGTGGCGCTGGCATTGATGTCTTCAAGATTGACGAGGCTGGCAATGCGATGGAGCGGGTCACGAGCATCGGTAGCCTAGCCTTGTTCCTAGGCGCCAGGTGCTTTGCTGTTGACGCACGTAGGTTCCCAACAATTGAGGCAAACTGCGCCTACTTCCAACTGGCCACGGTATATGATGAAGGTCCTGTACTGCATCGTGAGATCTTTAAGGTTCACATTTGTCTCGGAGACTATGGACATGGATACTGCTTGGGTCTGCGGCTTGCCTCCGTTCACGGTAACACAACTCCTCTCCAACTACACCATGGATATTCCAAGTCGTCTGCTACCTCAGTACGAGAGCATCTACCCCGGAGGATCAGAGGAGGTTGATTGCCACAGCAAGTATATGGATCACTTTGTCCTCTATGTTGCGGACGACGAGGATTTCGAATTCGACCCTAAGTACCATGATCTGTCAGACGTAACGACATCCTTTATGATTCTTTAACTAGTATATGCATTCGTGTTAATCCATGCATGTTATGTTCGACTCAATGCATTATTCCTAGTAGTTATTATTAGAACGAGTTATTATTATCGATGAAATCGATCGTGGGTCCATATTGCTTATATGGTGTCTTTAAAATTTAGGGTTTTAGATTAAGAGAATTGCTTTGGAGTTGTTGGAAGATGATTTAAGGGGAGTAAATAATACTCTCTCACGCCACACAAAAATATTGTAAGACAAATTTGGGTCAGTACTATTAAATAAAAACTACAAATATCGGTAACTTTTACATTATTTAGTTTGTAACACATGTGCATTTTTTTTCTCCAAAATAACTGCAATCCCTATCAATCTAACTATCTATACATAATATTACTAAATGTATTTGTGGAACACACAACTTGTTAAACGGTCACCTAGATGATTTGCAGCTTGGAGATTTATTCAACAATAGTCATATGTTCCAAAATGTTTTGGAATTGAACTCCGTACCATTGCTTGATGCATCTTGGAATCCAAAATGTTTTCAAGATTGGGTGATTCTTCTCTTCACCGTGTCGCCGGGTGGACTCTGACCTCTCTAGCTAACTTAATAATTAACTGATTCGATGAATGATCTGTTGAGGAATCTTTTGTGAGATCATGTGATGAAAAAATGGTTTGATATGAAATTGACATTGCAAAGTGATTTGATTTATGGCATAGGGTGACATGCATGTGTTACTTACTTATGCTTGTTATAGCATGATGATTGGATACACTTGTGGTAGTGTAGTGGATTTGGTATTGTTGCATGACATGCTCGTGTGAGAGGTGTTGTGCGGATTGACTTGAGTCAAGTCGAGGACTTGGGCTCGGACGCAGTTTGCGTGTTTGTTCATATGCAGGTGTTGTTTGAGGCGGAACGTGGTCGATGACGGACTAGAACTAGGTTCACGAGGAACTGAGGTTTCAGGACTAAGTCCAGGGAGGAACTGAGGTTCTATATTGGTCAAGGATGTCATGGGGACGTTCAGGCTAGAGAACAATGTACGTGAAGACAAGATGATCACTCCGTGAGACGTACAGGGAGATGTACGGGCTATGGCGTGATGATGATTGGCAGCTATGACACGTGGGCACAGGAGATGTGCATGCATACGTGAATAGCTGCAGATGTGCGAGATGGTGCATCGGCAAGGTGCAAGGTGCTACACTTGCACGTGGTGCCGGTAGACGTGCAGGTGGGCACGTAGCTGGTTTGGACGGCCAGTTCGGATTGGATGCATGAGCAATGTACGGCTGTGACTTGGTCTGTTTGGGGATTAAACAAAGGGCCAAGTTGAGTGATACGGAGTGCATGAAGGAGGACATGTACACGTATCTGTTTGGAGTCCAGAACAGACTTGGTCAAGTGCGGTTTGGATTAGTAGGCATGCAAGGATGGAGCTGGACTTGGGTTCCTTTTGCTGGGCGTGTTGGCCGAGTAAAAGGAGATCAAGGCTGTGGCTATGTTGCCTTGCATGACCGAGTTGGCATTGGCCGAGTAAAAGGAGATCAAGGCTGTGGCTATGTTGCCTTGCATGACCGAGTTGGCAGTGTGCGTCTCAGGTGGATATAAATAGAGACAGGTCGAGTCGCGAGCTAAGGTGTGCGTGTGCGACGTCGGCTTTGAGGAGGCAGCGCAGGCAACAAAAGGGTTTAGCCGGCGGCTGTTTTAGTGTTTAGGGATTTTGTGGAGAATCCTTTTGAGGATGCTTGTAAGTTGCATCTTGTGAACATATCAGAGTAATGAAGTTCAATTCTATCATATTGACGTGTTGGTAATGTTGTTCCTTAGCTCAGCTCTTTTACATGCCCTGCTTTCGGTTTTAGATTGTTTTTATTGGTTGGAAGTTTAGACTTGATTTAATCTATCTAAAATAATGCTAGAGCATCAAGCTTGCGATATGAGAAGTTTCATTGATTTATCAGTCCAAAGTTGAAAACGAGACTTAATTTGGTTTTGTATTTAGGGGAGGTTTTAAAATTAATTTTGGCTTCCGCAATCATTCACCCCCCCCTCTAATTTATTCTCTGTTTCAACTCAAACCTTGATCAAGCTTTGGCCTTGCATCAAGCCTGTCTAATATATATTTAACAAACATAAACTTCTTGTCATATAAATCATGAAAACATAAGACATGTATCATGTAATGGGCGTATGATCCTTACAACTGCACACATTATTGGAATGAGTTAACTTAAGAAGACCAAGAAGGAGGAGGATGATCGTTGAGTTAAAAGCTGACATATATCCCCACAAAAATCTATCATGTGAACTAGTTCACCACTCGAGGACCTACAAGAGTATTAGTGGCAATTCATTATCTTGTCATTGTTGATGATTACTCGAGATACTTTTGGTTGCCTAATGCCTCTAATTCAAGTTGTACACTACTAGTTCTATGATAGCAAAAATTAAGGAACGTCGACAAGGGTCTGTTTGGTTCAATTGTGGATGTGAAAAGGCTGCCATGAGTTGTAAGCTATAGAAAAAGTGCTATGAAAAAGATGTAAGTTGTTTAGTTAAATAACTATAAAGTCTACTCCCATCTCTTTATCTTTCTTCAAACAACTATAAAACGTCTCTATTTTCACTTATTTGGAAAAGCTGAGAGCTGAAAGCTGCTGCACGTTTCCGTACTTGCACTGGCTGTCCGCAAAACCAACGCCCCACACAAAAAATTGCAGCAGCCTGTTTTATTTCAATTTTCTTATATTGAAGTAAAGTTTCCATTTCAATTTTTCAACGAGGGCGTCAGGGCTCCGTGTTGACGAATGCAGGTCTGCGCGAGTGACTCCTGTACCTACCTTGAAACTTGATAGGCATGGGAAAGACTCCCTGCCCACACGACCACGATACTACTGCATAAACCTTTTTGTAGGGGTGGCTCCAGATGATTTGTAGGAGCAGTTTGACCAACCGTCCCTACCAAAACGTGGCTACAAATCATGTATTTATAGGTGTGGTTCCCAGACCGTCCCTATAAATCAATTTATAGAGGCGGCTAGGGTTATCCGCCGTCCCTACAAATCGATTTTGTAGAGGCGCAGTCGCCTCTACAAAATTGATTTGTAGTGGCGGCTGTAGTACCAGCCGCCCCTATAATACCTGTTTGCAGGGGCGGTTCAGTCTAGAACCGCCCCTACAGTACATTTTTTCGCCAAAAAAAATTTAAATTTATAATTCAAATTCGACCAGAAAACACACACACACACATATATATATATATATATATATATATATATATATATATATATATATATATATATATATATATATATATATATATATATATATAATTCAACTCTGACCACAAGCACAAGAGTATTATATAAACTACAATTACAAGTCCAATTCACAAGAATATATACAATCTATCATTAAATAGACATAATTCACAAGATAAGACAAATGTCAAATTCCATACACATTGTTATCAACGGCCTAGAGCTAGCCTTTCAGTCTCACGAAGGTGTTGGTACTGATGATTTCTACCTAAGTCAGAATCTCGGTCATAGTAGGTGCTTTTGACATGTACAATCTGGTCCAATATGAAGTTGCAAAGGTCGTCGACGAGCTCTAAGAGTTAGTCATCCTTGTATGGGTTTCTTTTAATTTCTTTCTCTTCTTTCCACTACAAGAGAACATGTTTCGGTTTTGTATTTAATACCATGTGCGAAGTTTTTATACTATGGGTGAAGAGGTTCAAACTTACCCTTAAGGGGTGTCTCCTGTAGGAACCGGTGTTACTTATCATAGAACATACATAATATCCACAATGTACACTCACATGCTTCTGCTTGGGGCACTGTGTGTTTTGCATATGAAAATGTTAAGTAATGCTTTTGACAGTCATGTAATGGAGTACTGAAGAAGTAAGTTACACTTACCGCACATAGTATTTTTATAGCCAACCTTTCCTTTCTTACTGGATCATGCCTTCCGTAATGTTTAATGATATAGAACCTAAATGCCCTGTTCGAATTATTTTAGCAAATACAACTTGTTAGTATCCAAAAGTAAACGTTACAAGTATGTATACAAACATATAAGTTAATGAAGATTATCGATATGTATACGTCATGAGAATCGATATGAAGTCTTTGTATGTCACCGGGTCCCTATCTATTGAATCAAAGACCCATGCCATGCTCCTCCCGACATCGACGCCTATAGAAATCCAGTGGTGCTGCATGGGTTCTTGATCATGAACTTGGAACATCAAGGCATCATAACAGAGAAGAGAGGAGAAAGTAATGTAGGGGCGGCTACTAATGATGCCAACTTCCTTACAAATTCTTGATCATCAGCTCATATTTCATATAATGTATGGACTTGGACAATTTCATCATCGGCAAAACAAAGGAGAGGAGAGGAGAGGGAAGATTTGGTAAAAAAAAAGCAACAGCTGCTTAGCAAATATAGAGTAACAACTGATGACAAAAATAGCCAAAAATTAGAGTTGCAATTGCAAGCAGCCAAGCACAATCATATTACCCTTGTACCATGCATAACTGAAAGAGAGAAGCAGAATAGAAAAATTCAGAAAGGAAATTACGGCCAAACTTTCTTCCAGAAAGTAGTAGCAAGCCAATACAGCCCATGTATATAAAACATAGTGGTTGCCTAAAAACAATGCAGCATTAAGACAATTCAAAGCCTACTAATTTTCTAAACTGAAAATTACCTTGCCATACAGTTTATATTGACAAACTCATCATAAAAGGTTTCAGGAAAATTCAGTATTTAGATAGATACTTTAATATGCTTGGTTGTATTATCACGTAGGACCTTTAGTAAGTGAAAAAACATAATCAGTTGCAGGAAGGAAAATAATTACTACTATTTTTCTTAGCA